GGAACAATAAAAGATTTTTAGCAAACAACTTAAAGCCATAAACAAAGTTGCCAAAGAAAAGCTTAAGGATCAACTAGGTCTTTATGAAGAAAATGGATTGCTCAGATGTGCAGGTCGATATAAAAATTTACCAATGCCGCTAGAGACTAAGTACCTTGTGTTACTAAGCCATCAAAGACAACTTGCACGTTTGATTATAAATGAAGCTCATCTGCAAATGATGCCTATGGAATTTCAAACTACGTTAAACAAAGTGAGATAGACGTGGTGGATTACAAAAGGACGCGCAACAGTAAAAAAGTATTTAAATCAGTGCATAATTTCTAAAACATCAAGGAAAACTTTATTCACTTTTTAATATGCCTCCATTCCCAATATTTAAAGGTAAGCAATGTAGACCTTTTAAAACAAGAAGTTCAGATAACTTTGGACCAGTTTTTGTCAAACGAGAAGAAGATGAAAAGGGAGTAATGAAACAATGGGTTTGCATATTTACTTGTTTGGTAACGCGTAATATTTATCTGGAAGTGTTCCATGATATGACCGCTAGAAGCTTTTTAGATTGTTCCAGGAGATTCATAGCACTTGAGAAGCTTACCGACGACGATTTATTCAGGTGACGCAACGCAGTTCAGAGCCGCAAATAAAGCGCTAAGTTAATTATGGAATAACCTGATAACAGATCAAGAAGTATGCAGCTACTATTCCAATAAAGGTATTACATGGAAGTTTTATTATAGAAGACGCACCCAGGCAAGGTGGGTATTATGAGAGATTGATATGTATTGTTATAGTAACTCTACAAAAAGCTATCGGTGGAAGGGTGTAAAAATTTGAAGATTTTAGAACCTTAATATGTGATGTTACTGCAATTATTAAATCACGTCCTTTAACATATGTTTACGATGAGTTGACTTCCACCATTATACGCCCAGTAGATTTCCTACAGTGCGAGGGTCCAACAGGGATTGCACCTGTAAGAGTGTTCAAAGACCTCAATTACGTCCTTCCACAAGAACAAAGGGAATTGTACAATGTGTACAAGGCTAATTTAGCACTTACAGATGTTTTCTGGTAACACTTTAAAGATGAATATTTGCTTAGCTTGAGGGAACGTCATTTGACTCTACACACGAGTACGAAACGTTCTAAGCGACAGTTACCGAAAGTTGGAAACATGGTGCTGGTCAAAGAAATAGACCTCAGAAGAGGAGAGCGGAAGATGAGCAGAGTAGAAGCTATACAAGTTCAAAGGGATAACCATGTTAGACGAGTGACTGTCATTTTCCAAATCGGAAGCGAGTCGAGCGGCCGTTAAGTTCACTCCATCCCATTGAATGCGCGTTGTCGAATTTATCTTGAAATCTCTAATTTACATTATTTTTGAGATTAATCTTATTATTGCGTTACTTTAAAATTTTTCAGATTTGTAAGTTTTTTTTCTTGTAAGTGGTACTTATTTTTAAAATTTATTTGGTATCTCGCGAGATACTGACCTTAGCTTCATCGTTTTATACTTTAACCATATCGGTAACCACATATTAATCTTAATAATACTTCTACTAAATTTTGTTTTCAGGAACAAGAGCTAAGAAAGCAAGAACAGTGGAGCCTTCACATGAAAAGAGCAATTCACCACAGGAAACTATTGGAGAAGAGGAGGAGGTTACGATGAATTTGAATTATTAAAATTACTTTGCTAACATTTTGCTTTAGGATGCTGGCGAGCTGATTCTGGCTGAACAGACATTTTTGGAAGCAAGTGGAAAGTTGGCTAAGGATGATTACTTGAAGGTTGATGAAGACACTGGAGAGGTGTCAGAGGCTCTCTTAGAAGAATTTGGAGTGAAAACGCTCTTTGGGACATCTGGGAGGTATGCTCCGCCTCCCGTTATACAGCTACAACCAGAAGAGATCATTCCCTTGCCAGATAACAAAGATCCAGCATGGGTGAAAAAGGTCAAATTTTGGACCTTTGAGGACGCATATAGATTGATGCACCCAGGGATATGGGTAGAACACTTTGACTTGGTGCGCCGAGTGTGGACTTCTTCAGACTACGCTGGATCTGACCCTCTGGTGATAGCAAAATTGTTTTTAACTAGCATGACCGTTTCAAGGGGATGATGGATGATTTGATGCTTATGCTAATCATCTTCATGGAGAGAGGAAATAACTTCACTAAAATCATCAACAGTTCATCCCCTGAGTTGGCAGATATTGTTCGCAGTCTGAGGGACGCGTATAACATTAAGGACTCTACGACCAAGGGCACCAACAGACGTCAGGTTATCACTCTAGCACGAATTGCCGCAACGTACCCTTGGAACTGTTGCGAGGTCATGCCGTTTTGTAGAAACCCGGTGGTTACAAAAGCTAGAGTCGACGATTTTATCCGTAGGCATAATCGAAAGGTATCGACTGACTATCCCATATTTATGTACTCTTCCCCGATTACCGCAATGATCCCCACTGATCGTGAGCACAACACGTTGGTAGAGTTGTATGTTGGGCACGTCGCATTCACATTGTTCTCACACACATAATAAATCCAGCTCTTCGTGATAAACCGCCAAAAGAGTTCCTGGATTCCGTATGCAAATATATGAAGAGCGTCATGTTGAATAATTGGGTGGAAACAACCGTTCGCAGAAGCCAAATGAAAAAGTGGAAAATAATTAACGATGAGGGCAGGATTTCCATCGCTATCTCAACGGCAGGACGCGCTGTAGAATTACGGAGCGGACTGTCTATGGAACAAATTTTTAACCTGGCATAGTAAGTCACTTTATTTAGCATTTTCAGAATAGCAGGAATATGCACTGATGCCATCACCCGTTTAGACTTGAATGGACAGCACTGGCTCACGAGCGTCATGAGAAGCGAGTTTGATGAACCCTGGTACCTGTCGCGAGAAGCGACAAGTTTCTTGAGGGAGAATACAAACTCAAAGGCGGCCTTGTGATCTGTGTGATCCTATATGTAGTCGACCTATGAAGGGGATGGTCATTGTTGTAAAAAGTTGCTACAGTGTTGTGTTGTTCCGGAAGGGCAGTTTAGTAGCCGTATATTATTTTCTTCCTTTATTATTGATTGGCTTCTTCCTTTTGAGGTTCGTTTGTATATTAGAATTTTAACTGCTTGGTGAAGTTTCGTTCCCTTAGTTTTTGAAGTTGAGACATTCTAGTTAGAATTCCAACGTATTGGGTATTGGAATTATTAATTGTACTCTAATATAGACCGATTGGCTGTATTGAGTCTAATTGGAATTGTTGTTTGTATAGAATTCCAATACATTGAATATTTGAATAAGTTCTTTTTTATTTTTGACGGTTCTTCAAAACTTCTGCCAGCAGGTAAACTGTCTTTTCTGTTTTCTTTATTCGACTGATCTTATTTGCCTGTATTACTTCTTCATACTCCGGCGATTACTTCAATCTTGCTATATTCTTCTATATTTTTATAAGCGGAAGCACATTTACGTATACGATTTGTTTCGACGTCAACGATCTTTCAAAACACACGCACATATTCGTATTCCTTATTTTCCGCTACAGTACCAGCACTAAAAAATTTTAAAAGAAAAGAGAAAAAAATTTTGATTTTTTATCTTATTTTAATTTTTGATTTTCAATTGTATTATTATTGTGTTGTTGTGTTGAGGACGTATTATTTCAATCTGAAGTTTGAGGATCATTCATCAACAAATATTCAGAAGCGTCTGGTAAACTATCACTATTCTATGACTGGCTTCGAGCCAACGAATTACCTCAACCAGGTAGGCGCTCATATTTCTCGTAATAAGACTAGTGTCTAGTGAGTTTTTATTATTTTAGTAAGGATTTTTGTTCTATTTTGTGGTAGAGTTTTTATTTTTAAGTTTTTAATTTTTCATTTTTATTTCAATTTTTATTTCTCATTTTTTCATTCTATTTTTCCTTTTTATTTTCAAAAATTTATTCTTTTTTTTTAACAATTTATTTTTAAATTCTTAAAACACCTAAAGAGAGGCAAAAAGAAAAGACCCAAGAGGGACAAAGTCTAGGTACAAGAGAAAAGGAAGAAATAAAGTGATCATGTGATTATACAAATTTTTGCAAATTATACTATTTCTTATATGTTATCTTTAGATGTTTTTTGTTTATATCTTTTTTATTTATTTAGTCATTTCTTCTATATCCATTGTAATTGTAAAAAATTAATAATCGGCAAATTTCAAAAATTTTACTTCTATTTCTTCATTATATCCCAGTAACGCTTATTCCAATTTCACTTCGCCAAAGCGTGATCTGTTCGTCTCCTTGTTTGTCGGGAGTGT